TATAATATTATCCTTCATAATAATAATAATAAATAATAATAAATTTTGATGTAATTAGGTAGTAAATAATTAAATTTAAGTCATAATAATAGAGTCAAAGTAGAAAAAATATTTATTTACATAAAAATAAAAAAATTAATTTAAATAAAATTTGAATAAAAATAAACAAATCAAAAAGTAATTAATTTATTGACAATTATTTTAGAATAGATGTAAAACCCTATTAATCGCTATGTTAGCAACCATTAGGACTTAAGGGTCATTTAGATTAGCTATTTAAATTTAATTGATAGCTGATAATTGATAGTAAATAGCAGATAATTGATTATTGATAACTAATAGTCAATAACTGATAATTGATAGCTATTGCTATTTGTAATTAGTATTTGATAATAGAGCTTATAGCTGCTTTTATTAGAGAATTAAATTATTATTAAGGATATATTCATATTAGTAAATTAATTTGCCATTTTTATAATAATAATAAAATAAAATATTTTTTTTAACGTATACCCTAATAGCACATTTAAAGTGCCAAATAAGTTATGGGATTGGGTAAATATTTTGTGTCCAGCCTTACTGTAACTAGTGTTTCGAAGAGTAAATGGATGAGATGATGTTTATCTCTACGTGAATTGTATCCCACTTCTCTTGAGATTAGGTGGGATTATATTTAATTTTCCTTTTTTACCTCAAGCAAGTCCATTTCTCATTTTTTATCTTCCCCTCCTTGATCCTCTTTTTTTCTCTCTCCCCCACAATTGCTTCTCTTTGCTGGAGTACATTGGTCTTCATTGATCCGTTTGATGTCGGTCACAGGTCACAATCACTAATTCTCAAAAGCAATTTCCTTTGATTCTCACCTCTCATCTTCCTCTCCTTTCTCCACAATTTTTCACAAGTCTTTCAAAAATTGGGATTAGTATTTGGAATAGAAGGTAGATTTTTTTTTGAACATAGACAATTTGTTATAAGGAGGGGGAGAGAGATGGAGAGGGAGGAAAATGGGGAAAGGGGTTGGTGAGGCTTGAACATAATCCACCAGGTGAATTCCACATGAGGCTAGTGGCAAGCCATTGCACCTGTACTGTGGATTTTGAAATAGTGAGTAGATTGGTTGTGCAAGGTCGTTATAGAGATTTGAAGAATATTGTTAGGGATATACTGGTACAAATAAAAGAAAATAAAAAAAATGAAAATAGCATTTAACTCAAACAATTAACTTTGGTAGTTATTCATTTTTGCATCTATTATTCTATTCACATTTGCAATAATTGTTAATTGATTCACATTTACTGATAAAAAAAAACTTATCTAAACACCTTTAAATAACTGTTTAGGAGCCAATAGCTATCAACTGTCTCTTAAATGTTAAAACAAACACCCCCTTGAACATTCCATGCCGACAGAAGGACCATGAGTGGACAATTTCATATAGTTTTTGGATGATGGCAGGCCTGAAATAAAGGTTAGTAAAAATAAAAGGTTAAACCCCCAAGATGCTCCCATAACTATTGTACATTCCCTTAAACTAAAATTTTTTTCGATTTGGTTCTTAAAGTTTCTAAATTTAACTCTAACTTGATTTTTTCATTAAAAATCACTGATGTGTCTCATTGACAAGTGAACGATGACTCATTAAAACATTAACACACATAGGATTGACAGCATTGCAAAAATAATGATATGGAAAAAAAACCTTAAAAAATTCCATTTTTCTTTTTCTTTTTTCTTTTTTTTTTTTCCCTCTTGCCCTTTTTCTTTCCTCTTCCTTTCCTTCACCTTCTGCAAATCCTAATTTCATTTAGATATTGATTATGACATAATCATACCCATATTTCATTCAAATCTATAACCAAAGAACAAGGATCAAATATAGTTAGCATATACGAAATCAAAGGAAAAAAAAAAAAAAGAATTTCTACTTGATTTTATGAATTTCACTTCATGAAACAATAGATCACACACCAAACATAGTCAAGATTGAACCCACAAGAGATTCTCACACTTGAATCCTATAAATCGAAGAATATGAGTCTTCTTTGCTCAATTTAATGTGTCTAAATTCAATAAATTGAAGGAGAGATCTAACCAATGATTACTTGTTTGTTTCTGGCAAAGATTGAGCTCCATAGCCACTGCAAATCAAGCTTAAAATTGTAACTCCTATGAGGTTTGGTTGAATTGAGGGCTTTTTTCTCTCTCTTTTTCCTTTCCTTCACCTTTTGCAAACTTTAACTCCTTGACCTACAATTGCCTCCAATTATCCATCTCTTTCTCTCTCGCTAACTCAAAATTTACTTTGATTGGACTTGGATTGCTCCAACAAACTAGTTTAGGAAACAAGCTAACGGAAACCAAATTTCGGTGTGCAGATAGGGGCGAGAAACCCATATTTGAGAATGTGTAGAGCATATCACAAGTTGTTGTGCAAGGTTTTGGAGCAAAAATCAAAGCCTTTGGTATTCTTGCAGATGTCATTTATCAAGACCTCAGTGCTACATTGCAGCAAAGGAAGAAGATAAAGGAGATGCAAAAAAATGATGTCATCAACCAGATCTGGGTTGCAAAGGATGTAGAAGAGGAAGAATCTATTAGAAAGAGTTGGGTTAGGAAAAGAGACGAGCTGGCATGGAGAATCTAAAGTGGTGAGCAAAATAGGAGGGGAAGAATCTAATTTGGGTTCAATTTTGTTTTAGTTCAATTGAAGAAATTCTGGGTTTTGGTGGGTTGATTGGGAGAAATTGTATTGTATCCCCAAGATATTGCAAATGTGATATCTCAAACCAATAAAAAAATATCACCTTAACTTTTTTTTTTTTTTTAACACCTCATTAACATTAATTATCTAACAGAGAAAAGCTAAGGTGATGTTTTTTGATTGACCTAAGATACCACGTTAGTGGTATCTTAGGGATACAGTAGAATTTCTTATTCATTGAAGTGTCAAAGGACCAAACAATTTGAAAGAAATGATGCAAGAGGAAGAAGAAGGGGGAAATTTGTAATTTTAATATGAGATTGAATAAAAAAAGTCAATTGTATAATTTTATGTTATATTTATTGTTCATGTCATCATTTTTACTACTTGAATTTTGCACATATGAAATAAAAAAGGGTCAACTGTCAGTTAAATATTATAAAGAAGTTAATAAAGGATAAAAAAAAGTTGAAAAATTAAATTTTAGGGATTAAATTAGAAAATTTTTAATTTAAGAATTAATTTAGAGATCCATACAATTATTAAGGATCAAATTGAGAGTTTAATCAAAATAAAATGGCGTTCCATTTTCAACCAAAAAGAAAAAAAGAAAAAAAAAGGAGTATTCCTTTTCAGACAGGTGAAGGATGAAAAAGGAAATTTACCCTTTTCTTTACATTAAAAATCTGAAATCACATGACAGAATATATTCCCCTACCTAGAAAATTGTAGGTATGCACCAATACGTACAAGTCAAACGGTACAAAATCAATCCACGATTTCGATCACTAATATAATTAACATCTTAATTAAATACTATTAAGAATTTTTTTAACCTGCACTCTTAATATATAAATTAAGGTTTTTTATTATAAATATATAAAAAATATAAAAATTAATTTTAATATTAATATTAAATAGATAAATTCAATTAAATAATTAATAAATTAAATATTAACTTTTACTCTTTTTTCTTTAATATGAATTTATAAAACATATATATTTATTATATTTTTAAAAGGCATAACTTAAATATTAATTTTTAATTTTAATTTTTTAAATATTAATATTATTGAGGGATTACAATTAAGTACTTCAACTTTCAAACTGTTAATGAAAGATTTAATAAATATTTAAGGTTAAATGTTAATTTTAGTCATCAAAGTTTTAATTTTGTTTTTAAATTATTTTTGAAAATTTTTTCATTCATAAATTATGAAAAATATATATTTTTAGTTTTCATATCATTTAATTTATTAAGTTTATTCATATATACATAATTTTAGTTTCAAAAAA